CCCCAAAACCCCAAAACCCCAAAACCCCGTGATTCAGTCATTAGAAGATTATAAATCAAATTATCAATCAAAATTCAAAATCAATAAAGTCAAATATCTTATTAAGCACCTTTCTATAGCTAAGATGCCCAGAGCAAATGGTTGTTATATCATAATTCTTGATGTAGAAACCATTTTCAGGAACAATATTACTGTCATAATCGATAGCTGCATGATACACCTAGTTGTCTTGATCAAATGTGTAAATAACTCCTCTTCCAAGTGATTGCTGGTAGAATAAATTCTAGAACAAATGCAGAGTAGTATCATTTGTAGTATATACGTTGGTAATTTTGCCATTAACTGATCTGTTAAACTATAGTTTTTGCTTTTGTTATTTGGCAGGTTTGATGTAAGCTGCTCCTCCCATTAGGTAGACATTTTATATTGGTGACTTGTAATTGTTCTTAGCAATAGTATTCAAACAGCTCTTTAGAACCTACGTTCCAAGCGAAAATCCTATTAAAGTAAAACTGTATTGGTCAAATCCAAAACCTTAGCCAAACAAATGACCTAATAATTTACCAGTCATTCTAGCATTGTCCCTTGCTTTATTGAACAGTGAAGCAGTATCCTAACTTGTGCTGAGAGCTGTCTTTGTTAAACCCATTAGGAGAGATTAGCCGATGCCTTTGAGTGCTTTAGTTGTTGACATATTTTAAGTTTACTTATTCCCCTCTTGTACAGCTTCCATTATATTAATATATGCAGCTTTACCAATAGATTAAACACTTTAGGATTCCCATCTTACCGAAATTAGTGGGTACCCATAATCTTCACAGTATTATTTTAAAAATATCCAATCTTAGTGTTAATCTGCTTATTCACTTAGGAATCCGGATACTGCAATAATAGCATGCTTGTGAACTTCAAATTTAGGTCTATGGAGTATTTAAAATCTAGCTGATGGAAGATTATCTTAAGTAAGAAAAATCTATATCTTGTCAAAAGCTTCAGATTCAGGCTGCTACTAACAGTAATCTATCATATATTAATTAAGATTTAGTTCATATAATGAAAACAATGATTTTGGATCCAAAGATTGAGTATCTGTCATACTTGATTAATGCTATGCAAGCAGTTGTTCTATTAGACTGTGGAATGTTCTTGACTTCTTTTTTTCTAGCATCATTATCATAACAAATTGTTGATATATCTACCTCTTTTAAGGATTACATTAGTTCCTTTTTAACTTCAACTTACCATCTTAAAGATATATTGCATTTTGCTGAATTAGATATAGGAAAGTTAGGCTAGAATAAAGTTAGTTTTCTTAAAGGAATTCAGGCCTGACTTAATTTCTTAATTCTTTTAATAAAAGATAAGATAGTTTAGCTATTAAAGAAGTTTTCTCAGTATATGTCCTAATCAACTCTTCAATTTAATTTTCTTCAAGGTCAAAGAAATATAGTCTCACAAAATTTGGTGTTTCTCTGAATATTTTTTCCAAATCTGATTCTTTGATTGGGGCTAGGTTGAATATGTAATAGGTAAGAAAGTTCTATCTTTGCTTTAAATCACCCATACTGCTAAATAGTTCCTTTATTTTTGAGTCTTCTATATGATTTATTATGCTCTTAAAGCTCTCTCTGATTGTCTCTAAAAAGTTATAGGTATCATCTTATTTAAATTTTGTCTCTTTAGGCTTTTCAACTTTAGAGATCTAATTAATTTAGAGTTACTTAGAAGCAGTGTCAAAAAGTGACTATACTTGGTCAGCTAGATCTCTTGAGCTTGAGTAATAAAGACATCTCATTTCACTAGGCAATTTTAGTTCTGATTACATTTTATGTGCAAGTTCATCTTAAGAGTCTTCAATAATTGTTTTTTCCTTTATGAGAATCGAGTCTGAGGAATCTTGTTTCTTGTTAAAGAGCTTACTCGCAAAGCTAGTAATCTATTTTGTAGTACTTTGCTTGATCTAAACAGTTTGTAAGAATTTCAGTTCAGAAGCGGCTTATTCATAGTTCATATGAGCCTGAGCTTTATCTAAGACACGCTGTATCTTTTCTGACAATTTTTCAACAATCACAATTGAGACAGCTGAGGCTTTCATCTCAAAGTACGATATATAATCTGGATAGTCTGCTTGCAAGTGGTTAAAAATCTATTCATCAAAGAAGATCTTTGATATTTTAGGATGCTGATTTATTAGGGTTTAATAGTGAGTATTAACTGTAGGCAGGAATTTCAATAGATTCTAATCATTAAAAGCTTAATCGAGTGATGACTTCAAGAAGGGACTATTAAATACGACATCTATTTGCTACACAGCTGCTGTGTACTCATCAACTTAGCTCCTACTCTCCATTTGGATAAATTTTAATTTTTAAAATCTTATATACTCTATTGATCAATTATATCTTATCGTTAAGGGGTTTTGGGGTTTTGGGGTTTTGGGG